TTTTGCCTGCCCACTCTCTGCCCTTTCTGGCTCTGGCTCTGCTTTTCCTAGTACTCCTAACTATGGCCCCTTCCAAGCAGGTAAACAGCGGGGAGAAGCTGCAACTACAAGAGTGCTTGTGGGCTGGTGAGTGGGGCTTGGAGCATCTGGAACACATCACCACCCTGGAGATGCTAGTTCCTGGGGGCATGGGAGGGGGCGAGCAGCAACAAAATGTTGATCAGAGTGGCCTCTCACTCCTCTCAGAATCCCTTGGGTCCTTCAAGGATGACATGCTGCTGGTGGAGACACGAGGCCCTCATGATAACAGATCACTCTGTGCCTTGGAACCCAGCGGCTGTACTCCATTGCCCAGCAGGGCCTCCACGGTGAGGGCCAGGGAACCTTCCTAGACAGACCTCTCTCCAGCTGTATCTCAGAGCTGGCCTTAAATTCTCACTCCATCCAATTTCCCCCTACTCTGTGTCAGGACCTGTGCTGGTCTCTGGGGATTGTGTGTGTGGTGTGTGTGTGTGTGTGTGTGTTGTGTGTGTGTGTGTGTGTGTGTGTGCATGATTCAGACCCAGCCCTGCTCAGTGGCCTTCCGTCTCCCAGCTCTCCTCTCCCCAAGCAATTCTGCCTAGCTGCAGCCTGGTGGTCTCCTCAGAGTACTACCCCAGGTGACCGCCCCCAATTCCTTGGCTTGGCAGAGGGCAGCTCGCCTTGGACAGCAATTGCTACAAGACCTGCACTCAGGCCAGTGTCTGCAGGTGAGTAGGTGGCAGAGAGGGCTTTGCCCCATTGCCTAAGGGCAATAGGCCTAAAACTGCACTCACCTACTATTTGTGCTTATTTCATGTCCAGCCTTGAGGAAGTTAAGGGTAGAGAACCATAGCTCCTGTTCTCAAGAAGCTCACTGCTGGTTAGAGACCAGGAAACAGATAACCATACCCACAGGTGCTAAGTGTTGGGTTCCAGAGGGAGCCTCAAGGATCTCTTCCCATGGACCTGATTTTGGTGTGGAGAAAGTAGGCCTAGGCAGTAGGCACAGCTTAAGCAAAGGCACAGAAGCTTTCAGGAACCTGCTGCAGAAATATGGCAATATATTTATTGCTATATTATAGATAGAAATAGTTAAGGCTGGGAATTTGGAGATTAGGCTGACTAGAAACCAGTAGGTGTTGTGGACTTGCTGTTTGTGTCTTACAGTTGTGGGATGATGACCTGGGAGCATTATGGGCCTGCCCCATGGACAAGTGTGAGTACTATAAGGACTGCTCTTCCTCTGTGTACCAGGAGCTAGAATCTTGAAGGGATTATTCCTGGGACAGTACATACAATGGCCTTTGTTCTTCCCTGGCCTCAAATAAATCAGAGGGCCATTCCTTTATTCATGATAAGAGTTTGTAGGGATCCTAGGATTACCAAAAAGATACAAACCTGTTCTCACTAACAGAAGTCTAAATGGACATAAGCCAAATAACCATTTACTAAGCATGAGCTATTGACTACTTACAAAAGTGTGAGTTTACAATAGTGTGAGCTCTTGAAGCACTGTGAAATGTTTGGTGCTGTAAGTGCACATAGTGGGACCCTGAATCAGGTAGGATGGAGTTTAGGAAAAAGTTTCCTGCTGCTTTCAGAAGGCTGAGCTAGGTGAAGGGAACATTTTTTGTGAAGATTGTGGGGTACTTTTTCAGAACTTCCAAGGTCATCAGCGTGACCTTGGAAGGCAGGCCTGTTATGAGAAGAAGATGTGGGGGTCAGGTAAGAAATTGGGGTTTTGCATTTAGAGCCAGCAGGAGCTTCCTGAAGAATTATAATAAAACTTGAACACATCTGTGGGGTTGTTACATAGCAGATGTATTAGAGGCAAAGACAGGGCAGGGATCCCAGAGGCTGTTGCAGTCATGTAAGACAGCAAGGACAAGAGCCCAGGAGCTCAAGGCTTAGGGGACAACAATATCAGCTGACATTTGAGCACTTATAACGCGTGGCATTTTGGTAAGTGCTTTATATGCAGCCTTATGCACTGGTAACAGTTATCCCTATTTTACAGATGTGAAAACGGAGGCAGGAAGTGAAGTCATGTATCCAAGGTCGCACAAAATAGATAGAGCTATGTTCATACTCCAGCTCTGACACTGTGTGGACTTTGGGCAAATCCCTCTAGGCCTGTTTTTCTCCTGTGCGAGGTGGGGTGCAGGTGTAAGTTTTCTAACTAGACTCTTCCCTGGCTCTCCCAGACATCCACAAGCGCTGGGCCCTTGGGTGGCTGGCCTGCCTACTCTTTGCCGCTATGCTGTTCTTCCTCCTCCTCCTCAAAAAGGACCACGTGAAGGGTGAGCACTTCCCCGTGCAAGACCAGCGCGGGCGTGGGAGTGCCCAGAGAGGCGGCTGCCTCCGGCCCTTTCCCCCAACAGGGTGGCTGAGCATGGGGAAGCGGGATGTGCGCTAGCGGAGCCGGGGGCTGGTGAGGGGAGGACCTGGCCGGCTCATGCCCTGCTCGCCCCTCTCTCCTCTCCCGCAGCGGCAGCCAGTGGCCGCTCGGCTCTGCTCCTTCACTCTGCCGATGGCGCGGGCTTCGAGCGCCTGGTGGGTGCGCTGGCGTCGGCGCTGTGCCGGCTGCCACTGCGCGTGGCCGTGGATCTGTGGAGCCGTCGTGAGCTGAGCGCGCAGGGGCCCCTGGCCTGGTTCCACGCGCAGCGGCGTCAGACCCTGCAGGAGGGCGGCGTGGTGGTCCTGCTCTTCTCGCCCGGGGCCGTGGCGCTGTGTCACGAGTGGCTGCAGGACGGAGCGCCGGCGCCCGGGGCTCACTGCCCGCACGACGCCTTCGCTGCCTCGCTCAGCTGCGTGCTGCCAGACTTCTTGCAAGGCCGGGCGCACGGCCGCTACATCGGGGCTTGCTTCGACGGACTGCTCCACCCGGACGCCGTGCCCGCCCTTTTCCGCGCCGTGCCCGTCTTCTCCCTGCCTTCCCAGCTGCCTGACTTCCTGGGCGCCCTGCAGGGACCTGGAGCCTCCAGCCCCGGGCTGCTCGGGAAGAGGGCAGAGCAAGTTTCCCGAGCCCTTCAGCCCGCCCTGGACAACTGCTTCCTGTCCCTCGGGAGTCCCAGGGAGGGGCGCGGGACGGGGCATGGGGCGGAGGACAGGACTTGAATAAAGGAAGATGCTGTTTTACTATCCCTGTTGCCCACACCTGTCTGCTGCAGAGCCGCTAGAATGGCAAACGGCTTACCCTCTAATCCCCGGGCCCTTTAAAGCTTGGACAGGTGCAGTCTGGCGCTGCCTCTGATTGGCTACTGTGGGGTGACGCAACGGCACATGGCTCGCCACCATTGGCTGGAAGGCGCCTCCCGCCCCCGGGCTGCGGCGCGGGTGGAGGGTGTACGTTTTACGCAGGCGGTGGCGACGGCGGCGTCGAGGAGACGGAGCCGACGGCGCCGGGGGTGGGGGCGGCCGTTTTTTCTCCTTCTGGGTCTGGGCGGGTCTGGATCCTCCCTGGCGGGCTTTGGGCCGTGCCTTGGCCTGCGAGGTTCGAAACCTCACCCCTTCAGGTCCGAATCCGGACTCCTCCCCCAGGGCCGCCCATCTGACCTTCTCTTCCCTAACATTTGGAATCTGATCCCTTCTCCCTGGTTCTGCTGATCTGGCCCCTAGGAACTCAGTGAGACCCTAAGACAATGGGCTGACTCCTGCCCCTTTACGGGGATCTGTGCCACGTTTCCTTCGGCAACCGGGACAACTTCTCTCCTGGAGCTGCAAATTAAGCTCCTTCCCCACCCTGCTTCACCCCTGCCCCTCCAGTACCCCGGTGAGCGCTCCCCACGCCCTCTAGCTGCGGGTCCCCGGCCTGGGAAAAGATGGCCCCGGCTCTGCTGTGGGGCCTGAGCCTCTTCCTCAGCCTCTTAGACTCCTGCCTGGCTCCAGCCCTCTCCCCCTCCCCACCCTCCTCCCTCTGAGCCCCATCCATGTCACACCTGCCGGGCACTGGTGGACAGCTTCAATAAGGTGGGTGCGCCGAGAGCCTGGAGGGAGGGGCAGCTACTTAATAGCATAGCGGTGCAGAGCGCAGCTCTCGCGGGCAAGTCTGGGTGACTCGGGTACCATCTTGGTTGCATACTTGCAGGTTGTAACTAGCAGGCGTCTCTCTGTGCCCGCTTCCTGGTCAGTAAAATAGAGAAATGCTGGAACGTGCCAGGCTGTGTACTTAGCTATTACTGAATTTTTCAATTGTCCAGGGCCTGGAGAGAACTATCCGGGACAATTTCGGAGGTGGAAACACTGCCTGGGAGGAAGAGAAGTTGTCCAAATACAGAGACAGGTGAGAGGATGGCAGGGGCAGTGTAAATCTCACCTCTCAATCTCTGTTCACTGGCGGTGGGGGGGGAGCTAGGAGTTCTTGGGGAGCATTTATTCATTCAACAAACATCACTGACTGTATAATATGGCAGTAAACAAGGAAGCAAAATCCCATCTTCATGGAGCTTCTATTCTAGAAGAGGAGACAAGCAGTGAATAAGTAAATAACTAACATCATGTCAGTAAAGCAAGGTAGACTACCCAAGGGTGGAAGGGCAAGGTGTCCAAGGTCTGACATTTGAGCAGAGGCATGAAGTGAATAAGCAAGCTGTGTGACAGCTGGGAAGAGATTTGGGCAGAGGGTGGGACTGATCTGGTGTGTCTCAGAAGTGGATGGAATGGAGTGAGCAAGAGGGAGGGTGGTAAAGGCGAAAGCAGAGACCTGCTCCTTGAAGGCTACAGAAATCTTGCCCTGAGTGTAAAGATTTTGAGCAGAGAAGTGATACAACCTTATTTACACCTTGAAGAGACACTGCTGGAACATGTGGGACTGAGATGTCTATTAGATACCCAGGTAACCTCCAAGTCTAGAGCTCAGGGGAGAGGGAGGAACTGGAAACAGGAATTGGACATACAGTCTAGTACATATGTAACATGTAGTCAGTGTGGAAAGCGTGGGGAAGAGAGATTACCTAGAAAGCTGAGCCAAAGCCCTAGGCCCTCCGGGGCTCAGCAAAAACTTGGAGTTAGATCTGCTGTTTGTAACCTTAGGAAGGTCACTCAGCTTCACAGAGCCAGTGTGCCCACCTGTGAGATGGGGATATTAGTACCTGCTTTGCCTATTTCATGGGACTGTGATAAGGATTAGACTGTGATGCCTACTAGAAATGAAAGTTTTTCTTTTTCTGTAACATTGGTCATGCTCCTTTCCCTTTGATAGGCCTCAGTTTCCTCATTTACGAATGGGAGGATTGGCCACGATAAACTCCAAGGGCACCCTCAGCTCCTGGATTCTTTCTTTTCTTCTTTTCTTAAAAATCACCAGGCACCATTCCAGATCTTTTAAATATATAATATAATATATATATATTCTTTTCAGTACCAGGGTTTGAACTCAGGGGCTACACCTTGAGCCTCTCCACCAGCCCTTTTTTGTGATAGGGTTTTTTGAGATAGGGTCTCATGAACTATTTGCCCAGGGTGGCCTTCTAACCAACCATCCTCCTCTGCCTCCTGAGTAGCTAGGATTGCAGGCATAAGCCATTGGTGCCTGGCTCCATTAAGGATTTTGATACATGTTGTAACCATCACTATCTAGTTCAAGAACTCAGGCCTACACCTTGAGCCACTGCACCTTTTTTTTGTGATGGATTTTCTTGAGATAAGGTCTCATGAACTGTTTGCCTGGGCTAGCTATCCTCCTGATCTCTGCCTCCTGAGTAACTAGGATTATAGGCATGAGCCACTGGCACCCAGCATTTTTTTGGTTTTTTGAGTCAGGGTCTCTGTATGTAGCCCATCCTGGCTTTGAACTCGTAGTCCTCCTGCTTTAGTCTCCAAGGTGCTGGGAATTACAGGCATGTGCCACCATGTCCAGCTTCAGAACATTTCATCACTCAAAAAGAAACCCTGTCCATTAAGCAGTCATTTCTCATTCTTCCCATCCATTCTTCCTTTGGAATCATAAAGAATGTGGCCTTCTGTGTCTAGCTTCTTTCATTTAGCATGTTTTAAGATTCATCTATGTTGTATGGTACTTTCAGTTCTGTACTTCATTCCTTTTTATGACTGAATGATATCTCATTGAATATGATATACCTCATTTTGTTTAAATATTCATCAGAGCTGGTGGTATGGCACAAGTGATAGAGTACCTGCCTAGCAAGTACAAGACCCTGAGTCTTATCAAAAAAAAAAAAAAGATGTAAACATTCATTAATTGGCTGACATTAGGATTTTCTACCTTTTGGCTATTATGAGTACTGCTACTGTGAGCATTTGTGTGCAAGTTTTGGTTTGAACACCTGTTTTCCATTCTTTTGGGTGTATGTCCAGGAGTGAATTTGCTAAGTCATGATGGTTCCTTGCTTAACTTATTGAGAAACCACTTTTCCACGGTGACTGCACCATTTTACATTCGCACTTGGAATGTTGGAGGGTTCCAGTTTCTCCACTTCTTTGTCAAAACTTGTTACATGTACACATATACATACATGTACATATTTGGCTAGTCTGGGGCTGGACTTTATACAGGTTAGGCAAGCATTCTACTGTTGAGCTGCATCCCCAGCCCTAGGATGTATTTTTTAGTCATGGTATACTTAGTCATGATCTGTTTAGTTAGGAGATGATTTTTAGTTATAACCTATTTTAGTCATAACTACCCAGCAAGGATATATTCCATATTTGGATGCAGGAACTGAGATTCCCTATAAACCTGCAAGGGAGGTATTGTTGACCCTCTTTTACAGATGAGAAAACAGGTATGCTAGAGTTGTGGCATATGCCTGTAGTCCCAGCATGCAGGAGTCTGAGACAGGAGGATTTTTTTTTTTTTCAGTACTGGGCCTTGAGGGCCCTTCACCTTGAACCACTCCACCAGCCCAGTATCTTTGAAATAGGGTTTTTTGAAATAGGGTCTCGAACTGTTTGCCTGGACTGGCTTTGGACTGCGATCTTCCTGATGTCTGCCTTCTGAGCTGCTAGGATTACAGGCATGAGCCACCAGCGCCTGGCAGAGGCAGGAGGATTTTGAGTGCAAGGACAGCCTAGGCTTTATATCAAAACCCTGTTTCAACGCACCAAAAGAAGGAAAAAAAGAGAGGTTTAGTGACTTGTCTAAGTCACATTGTTAGATTTGAACCCAGATCTGTCAGATTCCCAAAACTAGTACCCCTTCCTTTGTGCTTCATGGCCTCTCCTTTGATATTGTCACATCAAGAGGAAAGGTGGAGAGAGACCTGAAGTGGGGATGGGTGGGTGAGTGGAATGTGTCCTTACTACTCCTGCCTGTTCTGTCAGTGAGACCCGCCTGGTAGAGGTGCTGGAGGGCGTGTGCAGCAAGTCAGACTTCGAGTGCCACCGCCTGCTGGAGCTGAGTGAGGAGCTGGTGGAGAGCTGGTGGTTTCACAAGTGAGTGGCATGGGGCCTTCCCTGGGAGTGGGTCATTGGCAAGGCCTGATGGTAGAGCCTTGACTTGGCCAAGATGCAGGGGACATGTCCAAACCCAGATCTTTAAAGGACTTGCTGGACTCAGGCTCCCAGCCTGAGCCTCTTTACCTCTTTGCCAAGTGGGGAATGGGTCTTGGTCTGGGATTTATGCCAAAGATGGGCTGAATCCTAGGTTCTGTGGGAGGTCAGGGGTGGGAAACCCCTCTGACACTGCCTTAGTGCTTTACCCAACCCTGCCCTGGCCTCAGGCAGCAAGAAGCCCCGGACCTCTTCCACTGGCTCTGCTCTGATTCCCTGAAGCTCTGCTGCCCCTCTGGCACTTTTGGGCCCTCATGCCTTCGTGAGTTTTTCAAGTTCCTTTTGGGGGATGGGTGGGGACTACTGAGGCTAGAGGCCCTATTCTGGCTCTGCTCGACCTGGCTGTGTAAGTATAGGCTACTCACATACCTTGTCTAGACCTCAGTTCTTCCTGCATCCCAGGGCTGAGGTGAACAAGTTTGTGGGGAGAAAGGCACAGAGGCTGGCCTGAGTCAGGTGCAGGTGTGATCACTGTCATATTAGTCAAATATTGCCCCCACCCTTTCATTTACCATGCTGTCCCAGACTGTTACCTTCCTAGGGAGGGGCAGGAGCTGAGCTTAACACTAACCCTTTTTAGAATAATCTCTTCTAGAGCCACAGATAAAGGGTTAGCTATTGAAATGGTCACTTCAATCTTTTTAACAGGTACACACCTGTATTCCCAGCACTCAGAGGCAGAGGTAGGAGGATTGAGAGTTTTAGGCCAGCCTGGGCTATGTAGTAAGTTCAAGGCCAGCCTGGACTACATATCACTAAGTGAGACCTAAAAAAAAAACCACAACAACACCACCACACACACAAGGGCCAAGCCTAGTGGTACATCTCTATAATCCCAGGAGGGTCTTGGTTTGAAGCCAGCCTGGGAAAAAAAATAAAAATTAAAGATAGCAAGACCCTATCTCAAAGAGCAAGCCAGATGCAGTGCTTCACCTCTGTAATCCCATCTCTGGAGAAGGTGGAAGGAGGGAGGAGGATCTCAGTCTGAGGCAAGCCCCAGGCAAAAAGCAGGACTCTATTTAAAATAAGATAAAAGCAAAAAGTGTGGAGGCATGGCTCAAGTGGTAGAGCACTTACCCTGTGAGCCTAAGGCCCTAAGTTCAAACTCCACTATCAGCAAAATAAGCAAAACATAATTTTTATAACAAAATATGTCACCATTAAAATTAATTTTCCTCTCCCAAAATATTTATCAATATGTGGAAAATATTCTCTTACATGTCAAGGTTGTGTGTAAGATCTCACCCAGTTGGTGTTCCACAATAGGATATTAAGTAAATTTCACATAATTTTTATAACAAAATATGTCACCATTAAAATTAATTTTCCTCTCCCAAAATATTTATCAATATGTGGAAAATATTCTCTTACATGTCAAGGTTGTGTGTAAGATCTCACCCAGTTGGTGTCTGTCCACAGCCTGTCCTGGGGGCACAGAGAAGCCCTGTGGTGGCTACGGGCATTGTGAAGGAGAAGGAACACGAGGGGGCAGTGGGCACTGTGAATGCCAAGCTGGCTACGGGGGTGAGGCCTGTAGCCAGTGTGGCCTCGGCTACTTTGAGGCAGAGCGCAATGCCAGCCATCTGGTATGTTCAGGTAGGTAGCCAGAGGTGTGGTACAGGGCAGGGGCAGGAGGGACGCCGGCCCACCTGCCCCTCCTCAACACTGCCCTCTTCCACCCAGCATGTTTTGGCCCCTGTGCCCGCTGCTCGGGACCTGAGGAGTCCAACTGTTTGCAATGCAAGAAGGGCTGGGCCCTGCATCACCTCAAGTGTGTAGGTGAGTGGCCCTGCCTGGGCTTGAGGTGGGATGGAAGGGGGCCTGGCTTTCATCCCTCTGCACATACATGCTTGAACTTCACCAACAAGGCCCATCTTCATGGAGATTTCAGCCTGGCTGGGAAGGCACTTAGAGCAAGCTGACCTGCAGATAGTGAACAATGTCCAGGGTTCAGCTCAGTGAGGGTGACCATGAGGGATCAGGAAAGGCTTCTTAGAGAAGATGTCACTTTGGCCAAGTCTGGAATATTGAGGAAGAGTTAGCTAGAGTCTAACTGAACTTGTGTCAGGAACCTGGGTTCAGTACTGGATTTGGTCCCTGCCTGACCACTCAAATAGGTTGGGGTAAAGGCTACTGTTGTGACAGAAAGATCCTAAAAGACTCTGCCTTAAAGAATATAGAGATTGATTGATTTGTTTATTTTTGTATCACATTTCTGAAGTGAGTGGTCCAGAGTGGCTTGGGAGCTCTGCTTATCACAGTCACTCAGACACTCAGATTCCCTCTGTCTATTGCATGGTCATCCTTTTGGGCATGACTTACATGGCTGATGCTGAGTCATGGGCACCTCCCTGCTCCATATCCCAGCACTCAGGAAGTGAGAAGGGGCAGACTGTTTTAAGGCCAAGCTGAAAGTGGAGTACATCACTTCTGCCTACATCCTGTTGGGCAGAACTCCATCCCAGGGCCACCCTTAGCTTCAAGGCAGGCTGGAGATTGCAGTTTCTGCTGGGAAGCCCAGGTCCTCCACCTTGGTGTTGGTGGACAGCTTATAGTCTTTACCACGTGTGTGATTCTAGGCAAGTTTACTCCCAACAATCCTGGCTTCAGCTACCCTGCTTATTAAAGTGGGATTGATATTCCCACCCATCCCTCTCTGCAGACATTGATGAATGTGGCACTGAGCGAGCCAACTGTGGAGCTGATGAGTTCTGCGTGAACACAGAAGGCTCCTATGAGTGCCGAGGTCAGTGTCCATTTCTACAGGGAGAGGATGAGGGTGTGAGGGTGGAGGAGGAGTTGCTCCAGTCTCTCCCTCCAAAATTCCACCTTGTCAGGCTCCAGAACTCTCTGGGCCTCTTCTGGGCATGACTCCCTGGGCCCAGGGGCAGTCTTCACCCTTGTCTCTTCCTTCTCCAGACTGTGCCAAGGCCTGCCTGGGCTGCATGGGGGCAGGGCCAGGCCGATGCAAGAAGTGCAGCCCTGGCTACCAGCAGGTGGGCTCCAAGTGTCTTGGTGAGTCTTCTGCCAATGGGCACAGGCATCCTGAGTGCCTTGCCCACCAGGAACTGAGAGGGGGTGGAGTATGAGTGGGGCAGGGGAAGGAAGGGTGTGATGTTGCCTGAGCAAAGGAAGAGGGAATGTCAGGATGTGAGAAGGATGGAATTGGGGTGTTGCATTCTGACCCCTCCCACATCCCCTCAGATGTGGATGAGTGTGAGACTACAGTGTGTCCAGGAGAGAATGAGCAGTGTGAGAACACCGAGGGTGCCTACCGCTGTGTCTGTGCTGAAGGCTACAAACAGGTGGAGAGCATCTGTGTGAAGGAGCAGGTCCCAGGTGAGTGGGGAGGGCAGACACGCCCCTTCAGGCAGCACCAGCATTCACAGCCCTGCCCCTTTCCAACTGCCACACAGCTCCCAAGCGATTGCACTGAGACCCAGACCCTGTGGACCTTATGTCTGCTCTCTCCAGGTTGGCTTTTGGCAGCCTCACCTCCCAGAGTAAAAGAGAATCAGACTTGGCATCAAATCACTCTGCTTCTCTAAGCCTATTTCCTCAACTGTTCAACAGGAAGGACAGTCCTTGGGCTGGCCCCCAGGAGCTGTCGTAGGTCACGAGTGTGGTGAGATGAAGGGTAATCACAGTGGTGATGATAGGAACCATTTCCAGTCTTACTGTGGGCCGCACACAGTTGCAAGCATGTTACACTTACAGTCATTTAGCCTCTGGAGACAACCCAATGCTGTAGGTGTTCTCATCCCCATTTTACATATGTGGAAGCTGAGATTGGGGGTGGGAAGCATCTGGCCCAGGGTGATGCGGCAAGCAGGTTGCACAGCTGGGATTCAAGTCTGGCCCTGGAGCTGGACTGGCACATGTAAAATGTGCTCTGTCTCCGATGTGCCCTCAGCCCTCTGTGTGGCCTTGGGTAGGCCTTTCAGCTCTCAGCCTCATTGCACTTAGGGAAGGAGGGATAACTGCCCTTGCAGAGTCCTTCTAAGCAGTGATCAGTGCTGTGCCTGGCACACTGGGGAGGCTTTGCAGAGCAATGACCAGGTGTGTGGGAGTTGTGGGGAAGAGGATGGGAGTGACAGGCCACATCTCCTTTGCAGAGTCCGCGGGCTTCTTCTCAGAGATGACAGAGGACGAGCTGGTGGTGCTGCAGCAGATGTTTTTTGGTGTTATCATCTGTGCACTGGCCACGCTTGCTGCTAAGGGTGACTTGGTGTTCACCGCCATCTTCATTGGAGCTGTGGCAGCCATGACTGGGTACTGGTTGTCAGAGCGCAGTGACCGTGTGCTGGAGGGCTTCATCAAGGGCAGATAATCCCTGCTGCCACCTGCGGGACCTCCTTCCACCTAGGCTGCCCCTAGAGGTCAGGCCTGTCTCCTGCTGGACACTCAGGGCAGCTTGGTTTCTTTTTGAGTAGGGCAAGCACCCCCTACCTGCCTTACGTAGCAGCGGCACCCAGGCCTGGGCAGGTGTGGCCCCTTGGGTGAAAAAATAACCCTGAAGCTGGATGCCATGAGATCTCTGCCTGGAGGAGACTGGTCAGGTTTCACAATGTGTGTGAATTTTGAAAGTTTCTCCTTCAGGTTGCTGCTAGTGAACTTTGGTCCCTTCCCAGGATAAGAGGGATTCCCACAGGGGCAGGGCCACCATAGCCCTCTCTGCCAGCTGCATGCTGCCAGCTCTTCTGTATTTACCCCATCCCCCTCAGCCATTGATGTATTTATTCATCTCAGGAAATAAAGGAAGGTCTTAGAAACTGGAGAAGCTTCACTCTCACTACCTGCCTTGTCCCATCCCCATCACTACCATCTTGGGGACGTTTTCTAAAAACCTGGGAAATTAGGAGCTGCTCTGGGACTGCAGGTGTGGCTCAAGCAGTAAAGTGCCTGCTTTGCAAGTGCCAGGCCTTGAGTGCAAACCCCAGTCCCTCCAAAACAAACAAACCTACTCTGATGACGCAGAGGGAGGACAAAGCTTTGGAGGGTTGGTCTTGAAGTGGTGTTAGAAGGGAGATAGAGGAACCAGCTTAGGAGTTGAGCTTTCTAGGTTCAGGACCAGCTGTCATTGGCAGACTGCTGGACAAATGACTTTCACCTGAAATTCACTCCTCTCATTCCTAAGAACGCTTTCCACTCAGGCTTAATATGAAAATGAAGTGAGATCATTTAATTACACAACAGATAGCTAGCTGTTCCATAAGATATTGGTAACAGTTATTCCCAAGGTCTGGAGCAACATTCCCTCCAGTAGAGGCCTCCACTCCCCACTATACCCCGGACTTGGGGAGTCACTGCTGGGCCTCCAGACTCTCTGGTGGGGTACAGGATCCTGGCTTGACCAGAGGGAGGCATGAGCCAAATCTCATAGGTTTATTTCTTTGGCACAAAAAGGACAGTCAATCTGGGCAAGCGAGATTCATCTGTCGACACCGGGAGCCTGGGGCACCTGGTCCCTGTTCCCCATGCTCAAATCCATGCACGTCCACCCTGTATTCCGTATAGGTCACGGCCTCTGTGCAAAATACCTGCTGAAAAAAATAGAGATATTTAAAAAAAAAAAAAAAAAAAAAGGTGGTGCGTTCATGCCCGTCAGTCACCAAGGGCTACAGTCAGGTGCAGGTCCAGGAAAGCCAGTTGTTCAACTGCTCAAGTGTCCCAGGCAGCCATGCCGTGTGCGCATGGAAGGCAGGGTCCAGGTCCTGCGAGACAGAGTGCTCAGAGCTCAATGGTGTCACTGGAGGCGCTGCGGGAGTCCCCAGGCTTGCAGCGCGCATGGACCTCGCCCTGGGGCTCCCCGGGCCGGGCAGGGGTGGGCGCGGGCACTGGGGTCGGGGCAGGCAGTAGCTGCACCGTGCTGGGCAGTTCATCTAGGGGCAGACTGTCGACCGACGACAGCCCGTGGCGCCATGGGTTCCAACTGATCTTGAGCGATCCCCTGGAGAAGCTGTCCAAGGAGCTGCCGGAGGCGGCCACCGCAGCGGCCACTCGGCCGGGCTCGTCGGAAGCGGGCTGCGGGGCCGGCACGCGCACGCGCACGTCGCTGAGCGAGCGGCAGCGGCCGCGGAGCAGCGAGGAGCCGGCGCCGTCGAGCTCGGCGTCGGGGTGACTGCCCCGGCGCTGCCGCAGAGCGCCCCCTGGCGGCGGGGAGGCCAGGCCGCGCAGACCGCAGCGCTGGAACACGCTGTCTCGTACCAGGTGCTCGCGGAAGAGCGCCGCGTCGATGCTGCGGCTCAGGTTGATCGGTGACGGCGGCCGCAGGTCCAGCTCGCTCAGCGACGGCGCGGGCCCCACGCTGCTGCGGGACGGTCCCGGGCCACCCTGCCGGCCGCGACCCAGCGACGCAGCTGAGCCCCAGGCGCCTGAACTGGGCGTGGCAGGTGGCCCACCTTCTGCGGGGTTGCGGATGAGGCTCTTGCTGATGTCCAAACCGCCTGTGCCGATGCCACTGGGTCCCGCATAACAGTTGTTGGGTCGCTCGGGCACCTCGCTCTTGCCCGACGGCGCGGGGCACGCCAGGCGCAGCAGCTTAGCCCAGCAAGCGTGCTCCGTGGGCGGCCTGGGACGCGTGGCGGCCACAGCGGCCAGCGCCAGGGCGAGTGCCCATGTCACCTCCAGCAGACGCAGCCAGAAATGGACGCCCCACCAGGCCCAGGAGAAGCGGCCCACCTGGCCTGGGCCCGGATACAGCCAGAGCGCAGCCGCCAACTGCAAGCCGCTGGCCAGCAGCCCCAGAGAGCCCGCCACGGCCAGCAGCCGCGGGCCCGGGCTGGCATCCCAGCCCCGCGGGCCGTCCAGCAGGCGGCGACGGCATAAGCACAGCGTGCCCAGGGCCACCGACGCGCCCCAGGCGCACGACAGGCCCTGCGCCAGCAGGTTAACCACAGGCTTGGTGGAGAGCAGGTCTGTCGCGAGCAATCCCACGCCGTGCACCAATGCCACAGCTCCCAGCAGGAGCGGGTTCTGCAGCGGCTGTGGCAGCCCCACGCCCAGGCCCAGCAGGGTCAGGGCCGCCAGCGCCGTGAGTAGCAAAGGGAAGGGCAGGTTGTAGAGCACCAGGCCGGCGTGCGTGCCCAGCCGCGCCTGCGAGCCATAAGGGTCGGTGAGCATGTAGGCAGATCGCAGACCCGAAGCCACCAGCACCAGCACCGCAGCCACCAGGGCCAGCCGGGGCCCTGTCAGGGCAGCTGCCAGTGTGGCCAGTGCCAGTAACGCAGGCAGCAGGAAGAGCACCCCCACCCCATAGACGTGCAGCTCCCAGGAAATACTCAGCACCTGCCGCAGGGGCCCCCAGAGCAGAGGGGGTGCAGTGGCATTGGCTGGGGGACTGGAAGCTGGTGCTGAAGCCACAGAGCTGGCTGAGGGTTCCGGTGGGGGTGGCTGGCCCAGGGCTCGTTGAGTGGTGACTCGAATGAGGCCTCGGCGTGTTGTTGAGGGGGCCTGCACTGGGGGTGCTGGGGGATGGCTTTGGGGGCGTCCTGGCCACTCCTCAGCTTCATCTGCAATAATAACAATATTAAAATTGACCTTAAAAGTGCTTTTGATTTTCTGTCACTCTCCAGTGTCCTTGGTGTTTTACCAAACTTTCCAAGGACCCCTGTTAAATCACCTGCCAGTCACTGGGTTGTGGAGTGGTGGAATATTTAACATAGTGCCCGACATCCAGCAAGAACTGGAGGGCAGTGAATTAGCACTGTTATTCCTGGTACTATCAGGGAAGTAAGTCAGCCATTCTCAACAGGCCTGGCACCCAAGGAATCAGAATTTCTTGCTTTGTGGCCCAGGCATTGGAATTAAAAACAAAAAACAAAAACTCCTCCAGGGATTTGCCAGTTGGACAATCACGGCACCAAATATAATCCACGTTAATGTAAAAACATTCTGAATTGGGCATAGTGGTGAACAACTATAATCCCAGTTACTCAGGAAGCAGACAGGAGGATGGTGAATTCGAGGCCAGCTGAGGCAAAGTTAGTGCAAGACCCTGCCTCAAAAACAAAAGGACTGGGGACTGCTGGGGCATAGTTTTAAGTGGTAGAGCATTTGCCTAGCAAATGCAAGGCCCTGAGTTCAATTCCCAGCATCTAAAAAATATTTCTATCTCTAAAGGGCAAAAGACTTCTCCCAGAGCCCCCCAGAAAGTGTGGTTATTATCCTCAGTTGTTTGACAGAGGACCTAGCAAGTCTCTCAAGCAGCGTTTATCTCCATTTACCCATCTTCCTACCCCCACCCCCTTCTTGGTATTGGACAGAGTACTCTTTCCCCAAGCCCCCCGCCATGCCCTCACCTGGCTGCAGGGCCCCCACAGGGCTGTCTGTTCGGTTTGTAGTTGGGCCAGGGTCTGAGAGACGAGGGATGAGGGACTTGGAGGTGCCCGGAGCCTCCACTGCTCCTCTCACCCGCTGAGGAGAGACCGGATCTGCTCCGTTCATTGCTGCTATGGCTGAAATGACAAGAGTAGTCACCACTTCACCTGACTCTCACGCAGTCCCCACGATCCAGTCCCTCAGGACGGGGCTACCGTCAGAATGAGGAAGATGAGATCCAGAGTCACACAGAGCCAGGGAACCCAGCTGCCTTGGACCATTCCCCCTTCCTGCCCTGCTTACCCCCTCACTGTGATACCCACCTGGATGTGGCTGCCTGTCTGGAGTCTGGGAAGCTGGAGTAGGTGTGGGCTGGGGTCCTGGGGTGTCTTTAACATCAGGAAGGTCAGGCTGCTTGGATGGGGGACCTGGGGAGCTGAGTTCCCAGGTCTCTCCAGCTCCAGCCTTCTTGAGGGGCTCCACTGGTTGCTCCTCAGGAAGAGGAAGGCTTCTGGCCAATGCCAGGTCTGGCTGGGCCCCAGGCTCCTGAGGGGACACCATCTCAAGTGGGGGTGCTGAGCCCACATGAGGGGTCGCTGGATCCTGCTGGGTGGAGATGGGAGCTTGGGCTGCCTCCTGGAAGTCCTCCTGGTGCTCACCCTGTCCTTTCAGCAACGGCCTCCTGATAGTGTGGGGAGAGCCAAGGTGGTCCAAGGGGGAAGTCTGTGAGACTCTGGTCTTAGCTTTGGCCTTCAGACCCTCATCTCTAGGTATTTGCTGCACCACTGGGCCTCCAGGCTCCTGTGGGAAGGGGGCAAGTGTGGTCACCTTTAGTTGAAGTCTGGGAGTTGTGGAGATAGAGGTAAGGTTGGGGGGTGCCACTGGCCGTGGGGCCAGTGCTTCTTGCTCCAGAAGGTCCTGTGAGTCGGGCGGTCCTGTCCAGCCCTGGGAGCTGGGCCCTTGAGCCAGCTGAAGGTCATCAGTTACGGGGAGTTGTTCTCGATGGGCCCCGTGAGCTGCTTTGGGTCCATGCAGGGCTGGGCCTAGAGGAGAATCTGCAGGTCTCTCAGGGCCTTCAGCAGGGACCTGGGGAATATCAGAGTGCCAGGGGCTCTCCTCTCTGGGATTCTGGTCAAAAGCCTGAGACTCTGATGGTACCAGGTGGGGTCCTGAGTCCTCAAGTGGCCTGGGAAGGCCCCTGCATAGGGCAGGGCCAGTCCCTAGAGATGGCAGCAGCAACAGCAGCAGGAGGCCACATATGTGGCCCCATGGGCTGAGGACCATGGTCTACTCTGATGCCCTGGCACAGAGTCCTCAACTTCAAGTCCTCACTGGACGAACCTAGAAAAAAGGAGAGGGGATGGCATGTGAGGGGTGGGAACTCCTGTGACTTCCCCAGGGGGCTGGTAGGAGAGAAAGAAGACAAACACAGTGGCCCAAAAGACCAAAAATCGTATGTTCTCCCTCATATGTGGACATTAGATCAAGGGTAAACACAACAAGGGGATTGGACTATGATAAAAGCGAGAGCACACAAGGGAGGGGTGAGAATAGGTAAGACACCTAAAAAATTAGCTAGCGTTTGTTGCCCTTAACGCAGAGAAACTAAAGCAGATACCTTAAAAGCAACTGAGGCCAATAGGAAAAGGGGACCAGGTACTAGAGAAAAGGTGAGATCAAAAAGAATTAACCTAGAAGGTACCACACATGCACAGGAAATTAATGTGAGTCAATGCCCTGTATAGCTATCCTTATCTCAACCAGCAAAAACCCTTGTTCCTTCCTATTATTGCTTATACTCTCTCTACAACAAAATTAGAAATAAGGGCAAAATAGTTTCTGCTGGGTATTGGGGGGGGAAGGGAGGGGGCGGAGTGGGTGGTAAGGGAGGGGGTGGGGGCAGGGGGGAGAAATGAACCAAGCCTTGTATGCACATATGAATAATAAAAGAAAAAGGAAAAAAATAAAATAAAACTCAAGCATGTGAGACAACAACAACAACAAAAAGAAGACAAACACAGGTGGCAGCTTCTCCCCTGCTTTTAAAGTTTTGAAACTTGCATCTCTGGTTATGTGACTTGCCCTGCTTCAACCTTCCATGGCTCCCTGTTGCCCTCAGGAGAGAATATAAGCTCCTTTTCTAGCCTTGCGAGGCTGCTCACTTGTTCTTCAACAGCCACGGGACTGTCCTGATCCCCAGGTTTTTGCTTCTGCTGTTCCCTCAGCTTGGAATGCCACCTCCCTTGTCCTTCTTCCCTTGCTGAAATCTGATTTTTGAAGGGCCACCTCCAGCATGGGAGAGGTGGAGAGCACAGGTGCCCCTGCCCTGAGAAGGGACCTCAGCTGGAATCCCAGCTTTGCCATTTCCTGGGTGAAGTACTTCAGTTCTCTGGACTGCAGCTTTCTCATCTGTAAAATGAGTCTCACAAGAGTGTCTCACTCCAGGGTGTGTGTGTGTCCTGTGAGGCTTAAATAACAAGGCATGTAAGGAACAGGCCTGCAAAAGGAGCCGGGAGGCTTTATAGCCCTTGTAATTTTCTCCTTAGCCAGAGAACTTTCTCTCCCCATTCCCCTAACTAACTCAACAAATCAACAGAACATATGCTATATTGGCTGGCCCTGGGGATAAAGCAGCGAACAAGATTGACGAGATTGCCCTATGGAGCTGGCATTCTAGATAAGAGACTAACTACACATAATTCTAAGTAAGGTAAGCCATGAAGAAAATAAAACGAGGGTGAGCAGGTAGAGGGATAAGAGCCTGTTTACACAGGTGGTGCCAGGAGGGCTCCGAGGTGATGCGTAAGCTGAAAAGAAGGAGCCAGGCATTTTGAGAGTTGAGGGAAAAGTGTTTTTGATAGGAACAGCAAATGCAAAGGCCCTGGAGCAGGAATGAGATACGTGTAAGAACTCAGATGGATGCAATTCAACAAGCGAAGGAGGAAGTAGCAGAAAGAAGGGGATATCAGGAAGGCAGGGGCTGGGTCAAAAGGGCCATCCAGGCCACCATAGGACATCTGGATTTTATTCCACATACCCCGGGAAGCCGTCGGGATTGGGAAGCATGGGAGTGACAAGTACTCACTTGTCTTTAGTGTTTTAAGAAGGGAGAGAGAGCCAATGCACAGGTAAGCTATAATGGTGGCTCATTTCAACTTAAATGTTCCTCCTCCAGGAAGCCTTCTGTTCCTGACCCTCCTGGGCATTGGGCACTGGTCCCCTGGTCACACTGAGTAATCTTCTGTTTCTTTCACCTCACATCTCCAGCCCCTGTAAGTAGCCGGTCCTGGTGGATATTCCCTAAAGGTTCCTGTTCCCCAGAGTCCCTCCCTAAGTAGGCCAGGGAGGCAGGAGTGGCCCAGGGCCAGCAGAGGGACATGGTGGCTGAAGGAGCTGAGGCCTGGCTGTATTTGGGGCAGGGGCCTTGCTCTTTTCTTCTCTGGTATTCAGCTGTCCCCAGAGCTCCTTGGCTCCTAGCCCTTGGTGGCTCAGACACCTTGAGAAGCTGCTAAAATCTCCAGGTCCCCTCTCTCCAGGAAAGGGCTCAGGCTCACCAAAGGCTGTGGACAATTTCAGGGGCTTCAAAGACCTCTTGGGCTCACCGCTCAAACCTGAATTTGGACTCTGCCTTAGAGCCCTGGCAGTTCACTTCTCAAACCCGTGCTGTGCTCTGCTCTTGGCCCAGGCTGGGGGCTGGGCACCATAAAGAGGCAGGGTTGGGGCTGAGGGCTCTCTGAGGAGGAGAGGCTCCTGACACAGACAGGTACTGGTCAATAATGCTGACCTGTGTGGAGGTCTTACCCAGTTAGGCTCCTGTGCTAATCCTCTCCACAAAAGGAGGTGTGAGTATACCCATTGCACAGGGAGGGAATCCAGGTCCAGAGAGGTTGAGCGACTTGCCCAAGGTCACACAGCCGGCTGAATGCACACACTAGCAGTAGTGAAGCACACAGGACTCGTTTTGCACTGCAGATCCTAAAGCTTTGCCGAGGTGGAGACGGTTAAGCTGGGCCTTCAGAGAATAGCATGCCATCTGCCTACCACCCCCGATCCAAGAGATGTGGGCACTTGCAGATAAGGCGGAGGCTCTCCAGGCTTTGGGGTCCCGTGGTGGTGGCTGCACAGATTTGGGGGTTGGGGAGATCTCCTCGCCGCAGGGACTGGGAGAGAATGGCCTGGGGGCAGGGCGAGGGCCGCCGCAGGGCAGCCTGCAGGAGCTGGTCCATCTCGGGTTACCTCTCTTCCTCGTCCTGGGTCTCCTGTCCCTGGCTCCGCGCCTTCCCGCAGTGTCCCGGGTGGGGGTGGGGGTGGGCTTGTCGCCCACGCCCGTGAGGGGTCTGCAGGCCGTGCCCTCTGCCTGGGTCCCGCCATCACCCCCTCCCTGCGCCAGCTCCTCACCTGCGCGCTGCGCCCCGCGCCCGGCGCCCGCAGCCCGGCCGGCGTTCACCTTGCGCGCGTCCCTGCAGCCGCCCGCGCGCCGCATCCTCCGGGATGCGATGCTCAGGCTTGGCCAACCGAGCCCGGCGCTGCCGATCTGATCGCCGAGCCCGCCCACACCACAGCCGGCGGCTTAACCCTTTCTCCTGGCGGTGGACTCTGTTCCCGGTCCTCACCGCTCGTCTCGCAGACACCAAGGCTGAGAGCTGCACTGAGTCAAGTGCAGGCAGCTTTCCTGCGGGAGGGCGCCCGCTGCGTTTCCATACCCCTGAGGCAGGGAGCTCCCCGCCCTACTCTAAGGGGTGGCTATCCCATAATGCATCCGTACTCGCCCATGGGTAAGTCCTACCTGCAGCTACACGTGCGTCTCTCAGATGGTCTTCAGTGCGGCTACTTACGCATATTAAATCGAAATGATCTCAGAGTGGATATGTTGTTCCTGTAATTTGTCGTCCCCCCATCACTGTACACTTTATTCTGGGTAAATGCCCACAGATCTATCTCCCCTCTTAGCTTTGTGCTATTGCTCATTTCTCCTTGTGGTTGGATGCCTGGGTGTTCTCCAGCCTATTGCAAAAAAAGAAAATGTTGTAGCTTTAAGAAAATCTGTGTGCAGTTTTCTTTCTTTTCTCCTTTGTGGTACTGGGGTTTGAACTCAAGGGCTGGCATTTCCAGACAGGGGCTCTCCCACTTGAGCCACACACCCAGCATGTCTCTCTCTCTCTCTTCTTGACACAGGTCTCCCTGTGTTGTCCAGGCTGGTCTCAAACTCACAAGGCCTTAGCCTCCCGGTGGCTGGGACAGCAGGCTCACGGATGTGGCATGCCCACTTACACCTGTTTTGGCACTACGGGCTTTCCATGCTTGGTGACATCTCACTGGCTCTTCGGTTTCCCTGTGCTCTAGTCTTCTCCCTGGGCTTCTTTCAGCGTGCCCTTGTAGCACAGGATTCTGGGCTCTCACCATTGTGGCACCCCTCAACATTAAAGCATAACTCTTGGGGGCTGTGTGCATGGCTCAAGTGGTAGAGCACCTGTCTAGCAAGCGTGATGGCTCTGAGTTCAAACCCCAGTACCGCCAAAAACAAAAACAAAAACAAAAGTGTAACTTTTGGAAATGAATGTAGTTGGGAATAAAGCAGAACTTTCATCTCCCCCTTCCTTGATTCTACTGTTCCATTAATATGGTCTGTTATGGTTTGTTCCTCAACCACCCACGTGCTAAAGGCTTGGTGGCCAGCTTGTGGCTCTGTCAGGAGATGGGACCTAGTGGACGGAGGTTAAGTCACTGGGGGTGTGCTCTTGAAGGGGGATATTAGGACCCTAGCCCCTTCCTCTCTTGCTCTGCTTCCTGGCTGCCATGAGGTGAACAGACCCCTCCCCCATGTGCTTCTGCATCCATAGACCGAAATATCCAAACCCACGGGCCAAAGGAAACCTTTCCTCCTTATAAACTGATTATCTCAGGCACTTTGTCACAGTGGTAGAAAGCTGACTCACACATTGCCTTACACTAAATTGATGTCCCTGCAACACTTTGTCAGTCACTTGGACATACTGGGTTTCCACATCTCTGTGTGCAGTTGGCTTCTTGACCCTCAAGGTAGCTGTCTACCTTGATTGTTTATTTGATCTTGTTAGAGCTAGTCTGTTCTAGCATTGTGGGATGTTATGTTTTCTTATTTTGGCAATGCTAGGATTGAGCCCAGAGCCTAAGCACTTTACCTCGGGCTGCATTCCCAGTTCCTTTGCTTTTAGTTTATTTTTCAGGTAAGGTGTCATGCTTCTGACTGGAGCCAGCCTCAGACCTTAATCCTCCTGTCTCTGCCTCCCACATAGGGGGAGTTA